ATTATTATTATTATTATTATTATTATTATCATCATTATTATTTTGGTACCGGGGATTGAACTCAGGTTATATGTGGAATCTAAAAAAATTCAATCTCACAGAAGCAGAGTAGAGTAGGAGACTGGGAGTCTGTGGTCAAAGGATTCAAAATTTTGCTTAGTAAGAATATGTTCAGTGTATTGTATACTTGAAATTGGCTAAGAGAATAGATTTTAAATATTCTTACTACAAAAATATGATAAGTATATAAGGCAGTACATATGGTAATAACCTGATCTAGCTACTCCCTATCACCAAGATGAAATCTATCAAAATATCATTTTGTGTACCATAAATACATGCAGTGATGAATTTGTCCATTAAAAAAATTAAAATTCCTTTAAGAAATCCTAAAAAGAATTCCATTATCCAAAGGAAAAGAAAATTTTCTTTGGTTTTTTGAGAGGGACCTCGCTGTATAGTTTAGGCTGGTCTTGAACTCACTATGGAGCCCAAGCCGACCTCAAATTCTCAGCAATCCTCCTGCCTCAGCCTCCCAAGTGCTAGGATTACAGGCGTGTGCCACCACACCCCACTTCAAAAGAGAATTTTAAACTTGTTGTATTTCTTTCCTTTTCTTTTTTCTTCACATGTGTCATCACGCAGGCACACTTCTAGAGATTGTGACTGCTCTGAAGACAGTTTTATGGATCCTGTGTTTTCCTTCCACTGAGCAATTTTTCACATCATTAAGTAGCCTTTTGATGATGTGAGTTTTGGGTCCTCCAGGCCACCAGACAGAGACGCCCTCTAATTATTACAGTCAGCTCCTTAGGTTATTTCCAGGTTTCTGACATCAGAAACAGCACTGGGAGGCAACACTGGGGCCGCAGCTGTTGTGCACCCAGCTGCTGAATCCTTTAAGACAGACGCACATGAGCAGAACGCATGGGCCTGAGCAGGAACTGGTCCACAGCCACAGGCTTGTCACTCACAGCCAGAACTGACCAGAAGGGCGGGATGGATGATTTATTGAGGGAGATTTCTTTCTTTCTTTCTTTTTTTTTTGGTACCAGGGATTGAACTCCAGACCTCGCACTTGCAAGGCAGGTGGTAGAACCACTGAGGTAAATCCCTGGCCCGGTGGGAAGTTTCTACCGTGAGACACAAATCAAAACTATAAATGTGCTCATAAAAATGGTGAAGAGCCAGGCGTGTGGCACATGCTTTTAATCCCAGCACTCAGGAGGCTGAAGCAGGAGGATTGACAGTTTAAGGCCAGGCTGGTCTGGGGTTGTAGCTCAGTGGAAAAGTGCTTCCCTAGCGTGCTCGAGATCCTGGGTTCCATCCCCAGCACCAGAAAAAACAAACCGAACAGCCAAAGACAGGACAGAAGAAATAAAGGAATGAAAACAGTTGCTGGATTTGACAGTGGGACTCTAGGTCACTTTTTTTTTTTGGCGGTGGTGCTGGGGACTGAACCCAGTTGTCCAGGCTGGGCTCAAATTGATAATTCTCCTTCCACAACCTCCCAGAGTGCTGGGTTCGCGGGTGGGCAGCACTATCAAGTCTGGCTCCCAGACTGCTATTTAATTTTTTTGTGGGCAGTACTGACAATCGAACTCAGGACCTTGGGCTTTCGAGGCAGGTGCAGTGCCACTGAGCTAAATCCCCAGCCCCTAAATTTAATTTTCTTTTAATACAGGGTGTCTGTAAGTTGGCCATGCCAGCCTCAAAATTGTGATCCTCTGGTCTCAGCCTCCCAAGTAGCCAGGATTATAAGTGTGCACCACTGTGTCCAGCTGGAGGTCACATATGAAGAAGCATTGGTTGAAAACAAACCCATTTTATAGCTACTTTAAATGTCAGCCACATTTTCCTGCAAAGAAACAGACAGTACATATCTTAGGCTTTGTAGACCACAAACTTCAGTCTCATAGTCTCTTAGTTAGTTTTTTATTTTGTTGTTTTTGCTTTTTGAGACAGGGTCTCCCTGTGTATGCCAGACTGACCTTGAATGTACTGTGTATATTAGCACAAGCTGGCCTGGAACTTGCCGAGATCCTTCTGCCTCGGCTTTCTGAGTGCTGGGATTCCAGGTCATGCAAATGGGCATGTGCTGGATTTGGCCGTGGGCTGCAGTGTGCTGACTCACCTTGGTTGGGGACTTCAAGGCGTGAAGGTGGCTCTGTGGGCAGGGGACTGATGGTAGGAGTCGGGGTGCTGGTGGTGGTGGTTGGGATGGAGCTGGAGGTGCCAGGGCCCAGGTCAGTGCCCTCTGAAGCCTCGGTCGCAGCCTCATCCTGCTTGGCAGAGTTGGGCTCGGGGTCCCTGCCCTCTGCCTTGGGTGGCAGCTGCTCCAGCCGTGAGGTGCCTTTGAGGGCGTTATCTGCAGAGAGACGGCATGGTGGGGAGGGGCAGGCAGGGTTTAGGGTCCCCAGCCCCACCCCCATCTCCCACCTTGCCCTAGGTGAATTTTTTTGTGGGGGAGCAGTACTGGGATTGAACCCAGCTCTCTCTACCACTAAGCTAGATTCCCCAGCCCCTTTTTAATTTTGTTATTATTACTGCCATATATTTGCAGTACTGGGGGTTGAACCCAGGGCCTTTGCCCTGAGCTACATCCCCAGCCCTTTTTATTTTTTTTAATTTGAGACAGAATCTCTCTAAGTCACTAAGTTGACCAGGCTATGCTAGAACTTGCAATCGTCTTGCCTCAGCCTCCCAGAGTGCTGAGCTTACAGATGTGTGCTGCCACACTTGGCTTTGATTTTCGAGACAGAGTCTCACTAAGTTGCCTGGGCTGGCTTTGAAATTAGGATTCTCTTGCCCCAGCCTCCTGGAGCACTAGGATTACAGGAGTGCAGCACCTTGCCCAACATTGCTGGTGAATTTTTATGGGCAAGTCCCCCAGCCTCAGTGGGCCTCAGCTTCTACCTCCGACTTGAGTGTCCTGAGGCCACCGTCAGGCTCCCGTGACCAAAAGAGGACTCATATAAAATATCTGCACAGGTTCCAGCAAACCCGTGGTGGCGAATTCGATTGAGGTCTCTTTCTTTCCCAAGTGTCGAGCACTTCCTGCCAATTCTTTCCTGTTCCAGTTGAAATTCCAGGGATCAGGGACCTCAGCTTCGGGTCACAGACTACCTCCCGGTCCCTCCCCACTGTCTGCCCCCTCAGGCAGCAAGGGCCAGGTGCACCCAGCTCTTCGTCACCTCTGGACCCTAGAGAACACACCATCCTGCCTCTGTCCCCTTGCTCAGCTGTGCCTGCAGGGGCTGTGCTGGTGACAGGGACCATATCTGGGTCATCCCTGCCCCACTTGCTTCCCTGGGCTTCCCCACACTGGGCCTCCTTAGGGGAAGCAGGAAGCCTTGATGCCACACAGCCAGGGGACAGAGACCCCACGGCTCCAGGGATGGCAGTGAAGGGTCCCAAGGCAGGCTCTGCAGCCTTCAGACTTGGTTCCCTTCCTGCTCTGCCACCAGCCACGCCATGTCTCTGAACTGTTCCACGTCTGACGGATGTGGCTGCTGCCAGGGTAAATGCCATAGCATGCAAAAAAGTGCTCAGAAAATCCTGCCATCGGGAACAAAGCAGTGGTGCTGTTGTTACCAGGATGGCCCTCAGGGACTGTCTGGTCAGCTCAGGGAGGGGACATAGAGCCCTTGGCTTGAGGACAATGACCTGACTTCTTCTTTTCTTCTCTCTTTGCCCTGCGGAGCTGCCCAGCCCCCCAAAGCACAGGCCCAATCCCTCTGGTCAGGGGCGGGTGCGGGGGCCGGGTGGCCTCGGCAGCCTGCCAGGGCAGGGCCTTGTTCCCACATGCCTCGCTGGCAGAGTCAGATGCCCCCAGCTGTTCCCAGGCAGTGGCCCAGCCAGGGGTCAGAGGTCCTGTGGTGGCCCGGCTGAGCTGGCAGGGCTCAAGGACAGCAGCTGGCACCTGGGGCTATGGGAAGAGGCCTCTGAGCCTGGAGGGGCTGAGAAATAAGGGCGCTCTTGAAGGAGCCAGGACCTTGATTGTCCCACCCCGGCCCCCTGGACCTGTCCCTCTGGGGCCTTGCTGGACCGGGGCTCGGTAGGACTCAGGAAGGGGCAGTAGGTTTGGGACACCCCTCAGGGGTGTCTGAGTACAACAGGTGTCTGGGGAGGGTCTCGGAGAGGGAAGCAGGAGTCACACCAGTGGGGATGGCTCAGAAATTTGAAGACTTTCTGGGTGTAGTGTTGCATGCCTGTAATTCCAGCACTTGTGAGGCAGAGGGAAGAGGATTGATGTGAGTTCAGCCTGGGCTACACAGTGAGACCCTGTCTCAGAAACCAAAAAACAAAAAAAAGAAGAAGAGTCCAATGACAGTGAAGACAGCTTTAAATAATGGAAAGACACTAAATGGCCCTGATGTTGGTTCTAGGATTTCATGGCCAGTGGCCCCAGAAGTGGGGTATTATGCCCAGTATGTGGTTGAGAAAAGAGCACCCAATCAGTGTGAGGAGCTATCGGGGCACCTGACCGCAGAGAAGACGGGGACGCTGGGGGTGACTACCCATGCCCAAGGTCCCGACTGCCCACTCACCGGCCGTGGCCTCAGGTGCCTCCCGCCGGCCCGCCTTGTAGTAGGTGAAGCCCCGGATCATAGCCTGCTGCTGTACCAGGGCTCGGGGCCTGGCTGTGGGCAGGGGGAGCTGACCCTTGCCACCCTCCTTCTTCAGCTTCTCAGCCTTCAGCAGCTTCTCCTTGGGGGGTTTGGGGAGGCCTCTGTCTGCAAGGCTGCTCTGCACGCCGCCGTATTTGTTGGCATCCTTGCCTTTCCCTCCAGCTGTGTCCTGGGCAAGGCGGGAGGCCTCAGACTTGGGGGAGAGGAGAAAAAGCATTGTGGGGGGGGGTGCAGAAGGTGGTCATGGTGCCCAGGGACACATGACATCACAGCTTCCCTTACCTTCTGGAGTGGCTACATCCCTGACTCGTTGCCTCAGTTTCGCCACACAGCTCAAGCTCCATGGCAGACTTGAGACCCAACCTGATAGTTTAGATTCTTGTCCTGTTTCTCAGCTCCTGTCCACGGCCCCCCAGGGGTAGACAAAACTGGTGGCTCCCAAGGGAGGTGGCTTTTCCTGCCTGTGGACTCCCCAGCTAGGAGTGAGTCTCGGTCCTTGTGCAGGGAGACACAGGAACTCTCCAGTTTCAGCCCTGAAAGTTCTGCTTTCTGGGAAACCACTCCCAGCCATGCTGGGGCGGCTGGTCACTCTACCCGTAGGACATGCTACTTCTGATTTTTTGTTGTTGTGTTGTTGTTATTGTTGAAACAGAGTCTTGCTCTGTAGTTTAGGCTGACCTTGAAGTCACTACCCAAGCTGCCATCGAACTTGTGGTGATCCTCCTGCCTCAGCCTCCCAAGAGCTGGGATCACAGGTATGCGCCAGCACACACAGGTATTTGCAACATTTTGTGAGTTGTGTTGTTTTCACTTCCTACTCAGAGGGGTCAGATGCTGGCTTGATACAAGAACACAGGGCGGAAGCCCCAGCAGATAGGGCGGTACAGAATCTAGACACCTTCTGACACTGCCAAGGTGGGATGCATTTTCGCCTGCACGTTTGGCACTGGAATGAGCAGAAAGCCAGCTCGGGCCAGGGCACAGGCTTCCTCTGTGATTTCCCAGCATCCTGGTGGCCACATCGAGGTGCTGGCACAGGAGGCGGCAGGGAGGAAGGGCTGGCTCTGCAACCTGGCCCATAGCTCCCTGTCTGCCAAGTGGGCAGGGCCAGCCCTCCCACAGGGGGCTGTGGAGGTAATGGATAAGCCTGCCATTGGGAAACCCACAAATGCCACCTCCCTCCTTCCACCACCCACCAAAACACAAGGCCAGCAGGCCGTGTCCTGTCCTCGGAGGGCCCGAACGGGCTTGAAACCTGCTTTGCACTCAATTTGCCAAGCCACACCCCAAGCCACATGGTCCTCTGAGGAAGGAGCCTTTGTGCAATTTGTCCACCCAAAGGCGGCTCCTATTTCCCACCGATTGCCAGGCCCAGGCTGTGTTTACAATGTGTCTGCCACAGGGGGGGCCTTCCCCAAGTCTGCAGTCAGGCCACCTCTCACGGGCTCTGCCCCTTCGAGCTCCGAGCTTGGAGGTGTCCTGTTGGGGCCTTTGCTGCAGGATCCCCCTACCCTGGGAGGATGGATGGATTGTGAGTCTGCAGAGGCCCCAAGCAGGTGTGAGCCAGCTAGGGGGCCCGGCCACAGCAGGGGCTTTGCCCTGTTTCCCAAGGCCAGGCGGGTCGGTGGTCTCCATAGTTCTGTCTCTACCAGCCAGAGACCTGGAACAACAAGTCCCGTCCCCACCTTGCCCGCCGTGGCTCTGTCCTCCAGCCTCCAAAACACCGACAGTGTCCCAAGGCTGAGTCCTTGGCACCCTGTGTCCCCAAGCCCAGGCACCTCCCTCCATGATCAGAGCCAGGATCTCACCTGAGCCCTGCTGCCCGGGCCAGTAGCCGGGGTGGCAGGGGCAGGGGCTGCGTCCCTCTGCAGCAGCTGCAGGCCCAGGCTGGACAGCTCCTTCTGCAGGCTCAGCACTGCAGCCGAGTGGTTCTCGTAGCTCCTGAGCTGCTCACTGAGGTGGCGCATGCTTTCCTTCACCACCTCGTTCTCCCGGCTCAGGTTGGCCTTGACGCTCTGTAGGGTGAGATTCCAGGTGGGTCCTTGCTCTGCTTCCTTGGGATCCAGGGACACCCTGGGTTGGCCATCAGGCCTCGATGCCTGTGTCCTGAGCGGGGATGTGGGGCGTGGGCTGGGGTGACCCCAGTGAGCATGGCTGGAACAAAGCATGTGCCATGAGACCCTGTAATTGTCAATTTTTCTTGAAACAGGGTCTCGCTCTGTAGTTCAGGCTGGCCTTGAACTCATGGCAATCCTCCTGCCTCAGCCTCCTGAGTGCTGGGATTACAGGTTGAATTTTTAATCTAACGAGGGAAGGAATCTAAGAAATTATGTTGTTTTTTTGCGTTGTTTACATCCCAGTGCCGACAGGTGTTTTGAGTTTCTTGGATATCCTTTGAAAGGATCTTATAGATGGAGCTTTTCAAATCTTTGCTTTTTTACTTAGCCCATTTTAGGAGCTGTTCCACACCAGTCTAAACTGTGTTTCCCAGTATTCCCTTATTTTTATTTTTTGTGGTACTAGGCCTTGAACCAGGGGCCTTGTACTGAGCTGTCTCCCAACCCCCCCCCCAACTTTTTATTTTTAATTTTGAGACAGCCTCTTACTAAATTATCTACGCTGGGCTCTAACTTGTGATCCTCCTGCCTCAGCCTCCCAAAGTAATGGGATTACAGGCACGTGCCACCATGCCTGGCTCTTCCAGTCCTTTGAGTGGCCACACCATATGCCATTGTACATGCAGGCTATAATTTAATTAACCATTCCCTTGTGGACAGTCACTTAATTTACTTCCAATCTTTTACTACTTTAAAATTACTTTTTAACTTTATAAGTGATATATAAATACCACAATGTGGACAGAGTGAACTCCTTGGGGTTTGGTTGTGGGGGGATCCTGCCCTACCTGAACTGGTTCCCACCCAATTCCCTCTGGCTCTTTTTTTTTTTTTTTGAGACAGAATCTCACTATGAAGTTCAGGCTGCCTTTGAACTCACAGCGATTCTCCTGACTCAGCTTCCCTGCCCGAGTCTTCACAAGCCAAGATGTCTCCAGATAGTGCCTGCTGGAGGGTCCAGCAGCATCGCCCCTGGCTGAGAACCATGGGTAGATGAGAATTTGGGCAAGGAAGCTGGGACCTTAAATCACTGCCTGATCCCAGGGTGGGGGGTTCCTTTGGCAAAAGACAGCAGCCCCTCTGGAGAGACCGTTCCCAAGCCTCCTCCCAGGTTAACCAGGAGCTCTTTCCCCAGGGGGCTGTGGCTTAGTAAGCCGAGGTTAACAAAAACAGATCATGCAAAAGCAGACAATCAGAAAAAGGTTTCTCAGTGTGTGGAAATCATTTCCGGTGTGTCCCACACCTGGCAGATGCACCTCCCAGCTTGCCTGGCCCAGAGCTGCAGGACGCAAGATTACAAGAAGGAAAGAGCGGAGGACAGCCTGGCATCGCCACTGCACAGGAGACGGGTGCACAGAAGAAACCCCACAACTGGCAGCCTTGCCCAGGCTGGCCAAATAATTAGAGCCCGTGGTGACCCCAGCTTGGGGATTAGGAAGAGATTAATCTTCCATCCTGGGGCACAGGATTCCCAGGTGCCCCCTCTCTGTAAAAAAAGCTGGGAAAGGAAGCCCCACGCCCGGGGCTGGCAGCTGCAGGTCCCCAGGCCCCCAGCAGTGCAGCAGAGGCCGGAAGCAGGAAACGGGTGGAGACGCATGCCTTGAACCTGCAGCGGGGACCTGCAGTTCACCCACTCTGTCCCTGTGCCCAGGGCCAGTCCTGGGCCTTTGCCCAGCCCTATAGCACATTTGTCTTGAGCATTGTCCTCTGCTTCCCTGAAGTCAGGCTGTCCTGGTGAACGTGGGGAGTCCTGTCATCTTGCACTAGTGCTGGGGGCACCACTGGCATGGTATCTTCTGTTTTTTCATTTTGTTTTTTATTTTCACCTTTTTTTTTGTACCCGGCATCAAACTCAGGACCGTGGGCTTTCGAGGCAGGCAGTGGAACCGCTGAGCTAAATCCCTGACCCATGTTTTTGGGTTTTTTTTTGGTACTGGGGATCGAACTCAGGTCCTTGCGCTTGCAAGGCAGGCGGCGAAACCCCTGAGCTAAATCCCTGTCCCCCATGTTTTGTTTTTTGAGACAGGGTCTCACTATGTAGCCCTGGCTGGCCTTGAATTCACAGTGATCCTGCCTTGGCCTCTGGAGGGCTGGGATTACAGACATACGCCACCACAATAGGCTCAAGGTATCTTCTGTGAACGGTGCCCCAGAGCCATGTATGTGGATACTGATCTTGGCTTACTGAGGACAACTGCAAGTTCAGCCCCTTCTGCATCCATTCATACACTAGCAAGTGCCTCAGTCTCCCCACCCAGCCGTCCAGCTTCCCACAGACCTGGGATACCATCAGAACCCTCCCAAAGCCTAGACCCTGAGGCCTGCCCTGCCTTCCCCTACCCACCTCCCAGAGTCCCGATTCCAAAGCAACCGGCGTCAAGCTGGAACTGTCCCAGCCCCTGGGACCTGGCGGGAGCCCTGCCTTACCTCCTCTAGCGTGCTCATCTGGGAGGCCACCTTGTGGACGTACGCATGCACTTTCATCAGGTCCATGCTGTACAGGGCGCCTTCCAGGAGGTCCACCATGGACTGCAGCTGCAGGACAGGAAGTTTAGGCCAGGACATGGCTGGGGCAGCGGAGGCTGCAAAAGAAGCCCCAAATCTAGAACCCCAGACCCTAGAGGGGCCTGCTTGGGCCCTTGGCACTCACCAGCTCCAGCCTGCTCATAATCACCAGGAAAGTGGCAGGTTCTAGCTTTCGAGCATTTACCATGTGCCAGGCGCTGCAATAAGGGCTTTAGTAAGTTCTGCCACTTTGGCCTCGTAACAGCCCCACATGGGCTGCAGTGGGCACTGGGGGCTCATTCCCATCTGCTGGGACCCTTCTACCTGCTTCCTCTGCCCACCACTGGCTTCTGCATGACTATTTGTTTGTTTGCTTGTTTGTTTTGGGGGCTGTGGGCAGAATCAAGTCACAGCCTAAGCTAGTGCTCAGCCACTGAGATACATCCGGACTCCCATAGGCCCCCTTTTTTTTTTTTGGTACTGGGGATCGAACTCGGGTCCTTGTGCTTGCGAGGCAGGCGGCAGAACCACTGAGCTAAATCCCCGGCCCCTATAGGCTTCCTTTTAAATTTTTTTTTTTTTTGAGATGAGGTCTTGTGTTGTATAGTTCAGGCTGGGGTTGAACTCGAAGCAATCATCTTGCCTTAGCATCCTGAGTGCTGGGATTGCAGGTGTGCATTATCATACCCAGCTCTAAAATTCATCTTTTATTGATATATAATCATTGTACGTATTTATGTGGTACCATATTATATTTCTTTTTTTTCTTTTTTGGTACCAGGGATTGAATTCGGGACCTTGCACTTTCAAGGCAGGAGGTGGAACCACTGAGCTAAATCCCTGGTTTATATTACATTTTAATAAATGTACATACCGTGTAATGATCAGATCAGGGACATAGCTGTCACCATCACCAGTTACAATTTCTTTGAGTTTAGAACACTCAAAATCCATTCTACTGGGTATTCTGAAATATGTAACTGCTGGCGTGGTGCCTCTAATCCCAGCACTTGGGAAGCTGAGGCAGGCGGACCATTGTGAGTTCGAGGCCAGCCTGGGCTACATAGTGAACTCAAGGCCAGGCAGATAGTGAGACCCTGCCTCAAAAACAAAAAACAAGGGCCGGGGATTTGGCTCAGTGGTTCTGCCGCCTGCCTCGCAAACGCAAGGACCCGAGTTCAATCCCTGGTACCAAAAAACAAAACAAAACAAAACAAAACAATAGGGCCGGGGATTTAGCTCAGTGGTTTCACCACCTGCTGCACAAGCACAAGGATCCGAGTTTGATCCCTGGTACCAAAAAAAACACAACAAAACAAAACAAACAAGCCCAGTTCTCTGGGCAGTGGGGACAGCCACCCCACTCTGCAGCTCCCAGGGGACAGGGATGGCTGATGCTCCACCCTTCCTGGCCTCCTCCCTTTGCTTCCTCAGGTTTCTCTGGGGAGCCCTGGTATATCCTCCACTTGCTCCTGGGCCTACTTCTAGTGACCTGACCTCAGCCAAAGCTGTGATCTTCATGTTATAGCAGGGAAGGTGCAACACAGACGTGAAACACGTAGCCAGGGCCACCCAACTGCGAGGGAGCAAAGCCAGGAGCCGAGTCAGATCAGTGTAAACCCAGACCTCTTCTGTCCCACCTCACTGTACCTGTCTTGTGTCCCAGTGGGGAAACAGAGGCAGGGTGGAGGCTGCACACTGGGTCAGCGGCAGGCCCACAGCGAGTGCCCAGCCTCCTGTCCAGTCCAGGGCTCTGCCCCGAAGCTGCCACCTCCCCTCTCTGTCACACCTCATCAGGATGTGACACTCCCTCCAGATGGCCAGGATGCCAGCTCAATGTCAAGGAAACCTTGGCACAAGAGGCCGGTTAGGAAATTGGCCCCACTGGCTTCTGGGGGAGGCGGCGCCTGTGGCCCCATCCATGTGGCCCCATCTGAGTCTGCAGCCCTGCTCCTGTCTGGCTGGGTGGCTGCTCCCAAGCCACTCTACTCCCACTGTCCCAGGGACTTCCGAGCTGCTCTAACCTGGCAGCTTCTCTCCAAGTGGAACCTGCTCTGTTTCCAAAACAGAAAAGGAAGCGGAAGGCTCTATGGAAGCAGGGCCAGGGCCAGAGTCTGCTTGGCTCCCCTATAAACTCACCAAGCCCCAAGAGGCTCCATGGTACCCTAGGGCTCTGTGGAGCACAGTTTGAGAACTGGCCACAGTTTCCTTGCCAGTGAAATGGAGCAACTGGACTGTGAGAAGGAATGGGAACGGCAGGACAGAGCTGAGCTTGAAGAGCACACAGAAAGGGCTTCCAAGCACCAGCAATGCTGGCTACTGTTTCGGGGGCTCACAGGAAGCTCCCTGCTTTGTTCTGCTGCCTGCAAGGCTTTGAGCTGGGCATGGTGGTGCACGTCTGTAATCCCAGCACTCGGGAGGCTGAGGCAGGAGGATTGCTGTGAGTTGGAGGACAGCCTGGGCTACATAGTGAGACCTTGTCTTCAGAAAAAAAACTTTCATCACATGAGAACACAGGAGTAGCTTTTCTGCTGGGGATCAATTCCAAGGCCTAGTGCATGCTAGGCAAGAGCTCTACCACTGAGCTATACCCCTAGCCCACCTTTTTTGGTAGTATTACTATTATTATTATTTGCAGTGCTAGGGGTTGAACCCAGAGCCTTCATCCTGAGCTATACCCCAGTCCCCCTCCCCACCCCTCTTTTTTTTTTTTGAGACAAAGAGTGTCATTATGTAGCCCAGGCTGGCCTCCAACTCACAGCAATCCTCCTGCCTCAGCCTTTTAAGTGCTGGGATTACAAGCATGTGCCACCTCACCCAGCTGCCCCAGTCCCTTTAAATATATATTTTTTGGTACCAGGGATCAAACTCGGGTCCTTGTGCTTGCGCAGCAGGCAGTGAAACCACTGAGCTAAATCCCCGGCCCCAAATTTTTTTCTTCTGACACAGGGTCTTGATAAGTTGCTAAGTTGCTCAGGCTGCTATTAAATCTGTGATCCTCCTGCCTCAGCCTTCCAGGGTGCTGGGATTACTCTTGTGTACCACCATGCCCAGCTAGAAAGTTTTATAGCCACTTGTCAGAGCAATGCTCTATGTATAAGACGACACTGGACTGATATTGTGGCAGGTCTGTTTTTGTTTCAGTTTGTTTTCCCCTAATAATTCATTTGTATAGTACTTTACAAAAGTATTGGTCCTTGACTGATATTTTAATTTTTAAAAAACTGGTCTTTCACAGCAGGGAGGCATTCTCTACTATGCCCACGGCACCAGCCTGGGTCCAGGACGCCTTTACCTCTCTGCCTGAGGAACTCCTACACGTCCCTCATGGCCGAGCTCTGACCTTACCCATCCTGAGGCTCCCATAATCCCCAGAACGTCCCCTGACCCATTAGTGGAGTCAGCAGCTATGCTCTCCAAGCCTGGTGACTCCTCCAGGGTGGGACCACGACTTCTAGGCCATGTCCAGAAGGCAAAGGAGGAGAAGTGATGGGCATGCTGCTTATGACTCCTCTGGTGGACAAGCAGATGCAGCAGAGAATTCTGGGTTCAAATCTCAGTACTGCCAGTTTTCTGCTGTGTGACCTTGGACAAGTCACAACCCCTTTCTGGGCCTCCAGTTCCTTCCCTAGTTGTCATAGTGAGGATCAAATCAGCCAGCGCTCATGAAAAGGGCTCGGTGCGTCCTCCTCTGAAGCCTCCTTGCCGTTCAGTTACTAAGATGTGACTTGAGCAGATACTGGGTTTGTCCCTGGCCCTGAAGACCGGCCTGTGGCCTGGGTGCCTGGAGCTGGCCAGGAAGGGCCCAGGGAGACCCTGGGGAGACAGGGTGGTTTGGGATTTCCAGGCTGTCAGGAGCCCACTTGGCATAACCCTCAGTTCCCCTCCAGTTTTGTGAATGTTGGCATCCATGCAGGTGTTACAAAAAGAAAACTAATGGTAAATTTAAAGAAAGTATCTTTTGCCGAAGGATGGGAGACAATTCAGGGGCCTCCTACTCTTTTTTTGGTACTGGGGATCGAACTCGGGTCCTTGCACTTTTGAGGCAGGCAGCGGAACCACTGAGCTAAATCCCCAGCCTGCTCCCTGCTCTTTTGAATGGGGAACTGACTCTCGTTCCGAGCCACCTGCGTGTCTCAGAGCTGCCTTGGAAATACTGAGAAATCCAGACCCTTGAAGCCCAGGGCTCCTTCCTGTCTGCAACACATGCACTTTTATGCAGTGCTTACCTGGGCCTCACTCACCACCCCATCGGAACGGAGCTCAGAAAACAAGTGTGAAGAAACAGATTTGGCTGGGTGAGGTGGTGGTGCATGTCTGTAATCCCAGCACTTGGAAGGCTGAGGCAGGAGAATTGGTGGGAGTTCGAGGCCAGCCTGGACTACATGGTGAGTTCAAGGCCAGCGTGAACTACATAATGAGACCCTGTCTCAAAAAACAAAACAACAACAGAAAACCAGATTTGCAGTGAATACTAAACTTCTCAGGCTGGGGATTTAGCTCAGTGGTTCTGCTGCCTGCCTCACAAGCACAAGGTCCCGAGTTCAATCCCTGATACCAAAACAAAAAATAAAATAAAAATAAAATAAAGTTCTCTGCCTTGGATCCAGGAGGCTTGTGCCTTCTGCCATCACCCATGAAAGAGGCTAATGTGTTAGCTTGCAAGTAGGGTAATATCTCAAACTTTTCAGGGTTTGACACCAAACAAGCAAAATAAACACGGTTGGGAGAAATTATATATATAAAAAAAAACCCTCAAAAGACACCAACTGGAGCTGGGTGGGGTGGCACATGCCTGTAGTGCCAGCTCTCTGGGAGGCTGAGGCAGGAGGACTGCCAAGTTTGAGCTCAGCCTGGCAATTTAGGGATTTAGTGAGACTTGTCTCAGAATTAAAAAAAAACAAAAAAACAACTCAGTGCAAAGGTCCTAGGTTCAATCCCCAGTACTGAAAAAAAAAAAAAAATCAATCTTGTCTTTTCCAGGAAGGAAGACAGATGAGCAAGTGGTTTAGACAGATATTATGGACACAGCAGGGCCTCCTTCAACTCTAGCTCCACCAGGCCCTGTTGTGCCTGGGCCAGCATGGTCTGAACGGCACAGAAGCCCCTGGCTGGCCTTAAATGCTTAGTGCTGCCTCATACAGACCTAAGAACATGGGTTCCCGGGGTGCACTCGGCCGGGGTGTGGTCCCCACAAATGGTACCTTCTTGTGATCTGCTTATTCGGGTGGATGATTCAAATTCACTCAAAAAGTAGAGTATTAAGGTGTGGTGGTACACACTTGTCATCTCAGCACTCTGGAGGCTGAAGCAGGAGGATCTCGGTGAATTTGAGGCCAGCTTGGGCCACATAGTGAGACCCTGGCTCAAAAAACCAAACCCCCCCCCCCAAAACAAAACCCAAACCCAAACCCAAAACAAAACCCAAACCCAAACCCAAACCCAAACAAAAAAGCTTAGTATCTGTTATTAGACGTGCTTGAGTATTTAGGAATTTTTCAGATTTGGAATATTTGCACATAGATAATGAGATATCTTGGAAATGGGATTGAAGTAAATAAGAAGTTCATATAGGGGCTGGGGATGTAGCTCAGTGGTTCCGCCGCCTGCCTCGAAAGCACAAGGTCCTGAGTTTGATCCCTGGTACTCCCTCAAGAAAGTTCATCTATGCTTCATGCTCACAGCTGAAGGTAATTTTATACAATATTTTAAATAATTTTGTGTATGAGGCAAAGTTTAGGGTGTGGAATTTTCCACTTGTGGTGTCATGTTGTTGCCTAAAAAGTTTCCAATTTTCAGATTAGGGATGTCCAACTTGTACAGACTCGAGGCTGGCTGTCGTTTGGTGAGTTTGGGCAAGTTACCTAAATTCTCTAAACCGCAGCATTTCAGCTATGAAGTGAGGCCGAAGAGCCCCAGTGTCACAAAATGGTTTAAGGATTCAGAGAAGCAACGTGGGAAAGGAGTTCAGCACAGCACGTGGCGCCAGAGTGTACTTGAACACAGGGAATGTTAGTATTACACTAAAAATAATAAAAGGGCCGGGTCTGGGAATGGTAGTTACTCCAGAGGCTGAGGCAAGAGGATATCAAGTTTGAGGGGAACCTGGGCAACTCAGTGAGACCCTGGGGCTGTAGCTCAGTGGTGAAGCACTGCTGGGTCCCATGAGAGGAGAGGGGAGGGGAGGAGGAAAAAAGAAGGATAGAGCCGGGGATGCAGCTCAGTGGTCCCACCGCCTACCCCGAGTTCGATCCCCGGTACCAAAAAAGGAAGGAGGACGACGAGGAGGAGGAGGTTAAAAGGAGAAGAGCAGCAAGATGAGAAGGATAGGGGGTGGGGACAAAATTGGAAGTACAGCTAGGTGCTGACAGATGAACTGGTTTGGATAAAATCCAGGAGAGATTTTTTTGGGGGGGGGATGCGCGCCAGGAACCCGGCCTCCACTTGCTGGCTGCAACCTTGGGTAAGAAGTGGCTTCTCCTTGCTCTGTGAGCCTGTTTCCCTGCCTGTGCGATGGGTAGAGCCGACACCGCCTCCCCGTGTCGACACCCAGCTCGGTCCCCAGGGCCAGCACGGGGGCCTCCCCACCTACCTTGAGTAGCTCAGGCGCCTGCTTCCTGAGCTTCTCCATCTTCCAGTCGCGCTCGCAGGGGTTGAGCGAGGCGGGCGGCGCGGTGCAGGAGCAGCGGCAGTCGGTGCCCGCGCTCACCGTCTCCACGGCGTAGGCGTCCTCGGCCCGCGCGCGCCCGCCGCGCACCCGGTTGCACGCGTCCTTGCTCAGCGGCCGCAGGATGCACTTGCAGCGGCAGTCGGAGCCCTCCGAGGTCATGCGCACCTGCTCCGCGTCGCCGAACACCTGCGGGCAGGTGGGCTGCGGTGAAAAGAGGTGCTCGCTCCAGCCTGGGGGGGACTGGGTGTGCGGGGTGATGGAGGAGGTAAGTGGCCTTAGGGATAAATAGTAGCCGTTTAAAAATAAGAAGGAGCCCGACAGGGTGGTCCACACCAGTAATCCCAACACTCAAGAGGGTGAGGCAGGAGGATCCCAGCAAATTCAATTCAAGGCCAGCCTGAACTACATAGACCCTGTCTAAAAACAAACACCCAAAACTAAAAACAGAAAAACCCACAAGCCAAGAAATGATAATTTTAACTGTTACGTGTATTTTTCCACAATAAAACATATGGTATGAATGGAGACTTTTAACTGGGCATCTACTACATCCCAGGTTAAACATGCGCTGTACACTTTAATAACACCTGTGTGTGTGGGATGAGAGGTCTGTTACCTCCAAAGTCCTTACCATGGCTTTCAACACCTACTTGAGCTGACAGTCTCCCCTCCCTGCTCTTCTTACTGCCCTGCCCTCTGAGGGCTCATTCCACTTCGTGCAGAATGCACTCAGCCCAAAGCCCTTGTCCCCCTAACCTTCCCGAGGTTCATCCCATCCTGTCACTTAGTTCTCAAGGTCACAGTTTGAGTGTAGGAGTTCTGGATCCGGACTGCAATCACTGCTCTGTGCTACTTCTCCTACTGACCTCTCCCCCAGTTCCTGTGTAGTCTTAAACAAGTTATAAGCCTCTCTGAGCCTCGGTCTCACAATGGTACAATAGATGATCCTCCATCCCAGCCTCCTCCAGTGAGGGTCCAATGAAATAACAGGATGTCCCCATCCCCTTCACTCCATCCCGGAATGCCTCGAGCCCAGTGTCCAGGGGTAGCCGCTATCTCTGTGAGCATCACAGGCAGGGCCTTGCTATGTAGTCCAGCCTGGCCTCGAACTCAAGGAGATCCTCCTGCCATGTCTGACCTGCACATTTTTCTGAAAGCACTGGAGAGTCGCAGAAGGGCTGCTTTGAGCAGGGAGAAGAAGGTCAGCTCAGTGTCATGGGAAGCTCACTGGGGTTGCTTCGTGGACAGGTGGCAGGGGAAGGGGGTCAGCGCGTGGCCCCAGGGAGGAGACATCTGCCCTCCCTCAGGCTGGGGTGGCGGCTGGAACACAGCCAGGGGCCACCTACAGCTGTGCATTCTCAGGTGGATTACCTAGGCACTCCATGCCTCAGTTTCTCCCTGGTGTCCACCCAACAAAGGACAGTTCGAGGACTGAGAGATGGAGGACTGGCACCATGCTCGCCCAGGCTGGCAGTACATGCATGGTGGCCACTGGCACTGTTCTAATCACTCTCAGTGGTGCCGAGAGGGGGTGGCTGTGTCTCCACCTGGGTGTGCTGGTAGAGATTGTTTTTCCTTCTATTCTTGCAGCATCCTGAGAGCATCAAGTGACTGGTTCAGGAGGATGAGACCAGGGCAGGGTGTGGTGGCCCACACTGTGTTCCCAGCACTGGGGACCTGCGTGTCCTGAGGCACCTGCAAGTGCCCTGACCCTGCTTTCCCAAGGGAACCCCTGGCCACCCACACGCACTCCCCTGGTGGGGCTGGAGGCCCACAGGTAGATGTGGGTGTGGTTCCTGTGGGCTCCTCGGGCCCTGCACCCCTCCCTCCAGCAGCAGAATCCACATCAGGCTGCGACATTCCTTCCCTCCTCCGATGAGCTGCCACATCCTGCAGGGGCAGCCAAGGCCCTGACCTGGCCTGGATGTAGAGGGGTTCCCTGGTCCCAGCCCTGCTACCCAGAGCCCCCCCTGTGGGGCTGGACATGGGCAGCTTGACTGCTTGGAGCCTCAGCTCCCTCCTGGGCAAAGTGGAGAGGATGACAGTCCCTTCTTCACCTCCTTGTCTTGAGTCTGAAAAGAATCAATGCACACTGCAGGCCAGGCTGGGATCTGGCCCAGGGTAACTGCTGTCAGCTGTACCCGCTGTACGAATCGCTGCTGAAAACCCTGCCTCAGACTTACTCATTCTCTACCTCTCAACACAACCCTATCTGTTTTGTTTGGTTTTTTGAGATACAGTCTCACTATGTAGCCCAGGCTGGTCTCATGGTGAGCCTCCTGCCTCAGCCTCCCGAGTGCTATGGCGCATAACCCCCTTTTAGAAAGGATGAAGCTGAGGCTCAGAGAACACAAGGGGCTTGCCCAGGGCCACACAGTGCAGCCTGCTTCCAGAACTTGGTTGATATGTTGTTCCTCCCATGACTACCCACTCACTAGGCAAGGGCCTCTCCCTGTCACTGAGCTGGGACAGATGGGTCTGCAGAGCAGGTGGCTGGGGGCGGGGGAGGACCTGCCCTCCCTGCCCTGGCATGAGGGCTGGAGTTGCTGCCAGGCAGGAAAGTCCCTGCCTCGGGCCCCATCTCTCCCTGCAGCGTTGTTCAGCACGAGCTGCTGCCAAAGTGCGGAGAAGCCTCTGTGTGTGTGTGTGTGTGTGTGTGTGTGTGTGTGTGTGTGTGTGTGTGTGTGTGTCTGTGTGTGTGTGTGGTTTGTGTTTGAAAAGGTCCCTAGGTATTTTCAAGGAGATCTCATAATGTGATGGTGAGAGTGGACCTGGGATTGTCCTGAAGAGAGAAAAAGAAATCTGGCAGGATGGGGTGCAAGCTGGGCAACGGTCTAGCCATGGCGAAAGAGGCTCAAAGGGCATCATGCTGAGTGTGGGGCTGTTGTCTACTCTCAAGCAGCCCAGCCTCCCCTGGAGCCCAGCTTCTGCTGGACACCTGCCCCTGGACTGCAGGACTAAGATCTCTCCAACATCTCCCAAACCTGTGCCACCTACCCTCCCACCCAACCGGATCTGAGCCTTTTTTGTTTTTTTTTCTTTTTTGGTACTGGAGATTGAACTCGGGACCTTGGGCTTGTGAGGCAGGCGCCAGAACCATGGAGCTAAATCCCCAGCCCCTTCTCAGAGCCTTTTTCATACCCCAGACAACTCATCAGTCCCACATTCTTCTGAGTCTTTTTTTTTTTTTTGGTACCAGGGATCGAGCTCAGGACCTTGTGCTTTCGAGGCAGGTGGCAGCACCACTGAGCTAAATCCCCGGCCCATTTTTTGTTTGTTTTTGAGACAGCATCTCCCTAGGTAGTCCAGGTTGGCCTCAAACTTGCAGCAATCCTCCTGCCTCAGCCTCCCGAGTGCTGGGAATACAGGTGTGTGTCACCACACCCGGCTCAGACTGACTTTCTGGAGTGCTCAAGTCTGTTCCAGTAAAGCCTCGGGATGTTGGGAACGGGGTTGAGGAAGAGACAAAAGCTATGTGCTGGGCATGGGCTGTTTTCTGGTGTCACAGCCACACAGTGTTGGGACAGGACCTTCCTGGAGAGAGCAGGTGGGGCTTAGCCTCACACCACCCTCCCCACTCAGGAGCCTGCTTCCAATTACACCCACAGGCGGAAACTCTGGGAGCGGACACGAAGCAACACCTAAGCCCCCGGGACCTGCTTGCCTGGAACATCTGACCCACCCAGGACATCATAGCTTCCTGCCCCAGCCCCTCCTTGGGTCCCACAGGCCTTGGCCTTCTCTGTTGGTCTTCAGGCCTCTGATTGGAGGGCTGACCAAAGACCCTGCCCCTGGATGCAAGCAGCAAGTAAGGCGGAGAAACTGAGGTAGAGATGGGGAATTCTCAGCCACATTCCAGTAGTTCCTAGGGGTCTCTGAGTGTCATGTGGTTAGCTGTCTGTCCAACCAGCCTGGAAGCTGGGCAGCCTTTCAGGAACAGCCAGGAAGTCTGGGCATGGTGACGCACACCTGTGATCCCGGCACTCAGAAGACTGAGACAGGAGGATCACAGTGAGTGCAAGGCCAGCCTGGCCTACACGGTGAGTTCAAGGCCTGCCTAGAACTACATAGTGATGCTGGCTCAAAAATCATGAAAAAAAAAAGAAATGAAACACCAGCAAAGCTGTGAGCCTCCTTCCTACTCCCTGGTGGGACAAAGCACTTCCTTCAATGGGAACTTCAAATCCTGTTTAGGAGAGTGGTCGATCTAAACATGAAATTAAAACATGTTGAGCAAGGAGCTGGCAGAGGAGGCCAGCAAAGCTCTGGGTGAGTGGCCCCTGGACCCCGGGAGGGGACGCTGGGCCTCCCTAGAACAGGAAGCCTAGGAGGGGCCAACTTAACCCTGTAGGGCTCTGGATCCAGTTCAAACTGCAAGCTGGCCCTCCAAGGACCCCCACCTACCACCCCGGAAAGTAGGACCAGCTCAAGGAGAAAGGAGGGGTCCCTACAGGGGCGGGAGCAGGCCATCATGAAGACAGCTCTGGCAGAGCTAGCAGGAGTCTGGCTGGGCTAAGGAATGCAGAGTAAGTTCGCCCATCACTTGATTTTTATTTTTCCCAGCTGGCTGGAGTGGCCAGGGGCGGGAGGTGTCGGGAAGGGCTGCACCAGACTGCTCTAGGATGAGACTCGGCTCCCCACCCCTGCCCCGCCAGCCCCAGCTTGCCCTGGGACAACTAAGTACACACACCCCCAACCCAGCAAGTGTTTGGCTGACTCACTACATAAACAGGGTTTTGGGTTTTCTTTGTCTTTGCTCTGTTTTGGATGGAAGCAAGCCCTCCCCCTCAACTCTGCAGCCTGTGTGCAGCTCTGAAGATGCCCCACCAGATGTCTCTCCTGGCCAGAGAAGGAAGGCGAGAGGTGACAAAGTGCAGGTCAGGTTTGCTGCGGTTTTCCCTTCACTTGTTCTCCTACCTGAGCCAGCCCAAGGGGCCCTGAAGGCCGAGTATGGAGAGGGAACTGGGAGGACTTTGGGTTTTTTTGATGGGGGAACTGAAGCCTAGAATCAGTGATCTCACACAGCAAAAGAGCAGCTTTGGCCCTTTACCTGCCCGTAGGCAGGACAGACACACCTTCCACCAGGAAAAGGGCGGGAAAGATATCAAGAGAAGCCACTGTTGCCTCCATACCCTGCTCCTCATTCTCCTCCAGCCTCCCCCACCATTCTTTTTTGGTACTAGGGATCGATCCAAAGCCTTCACCCTGAGCTACATCCCCAGCCCTTTTAAAATTTATTTTGAGACAAAGTCTGGGTAAATCACTAAGTTGCCTGGGCTGAGCTCAAACTCGAAATCCTCCTGCCGCAGGCATCAGCATGCTGGAGTCAGGCATTCTCCACCATGCTGGCCCATGGTCATTAGGTCATTTCTAGAACACCTTTCAGGCACCCCTGGAATGATGGACCCTAACCACTTGCTCCCTTTACATTCTGGATCTCACACTCCTTTTCGGGGAATCCTTGGGATAAGATTCCATAATCACAGTTAACGTTTACTGGGGACCTGCTAGGGGCCAAGTATGGTGCTAAGAATTTTCCAGGCATCACCTGGCTAAACCTGCGGATCATCAGTTGCTGGAGGGGGGACGGACGGACTATTTTTCATTCCAGATTTACAGGTGAAGAAATAGAGGCTCAGAAAGGTAAAGGCACCAGCAGAGAGGTGGATATGGGATTTAAACTCGGGTCTGCTTGGCACCAGTGTGGATCCTCTTGGTCACAGCAAAGGACACTGGAGACACCGCCGCGTCCTGACTGATCCCTGGCAAGAGCATCGAGGCCAGGTGAGCAGTCAGCTCAGATGGGTGCTCTGGAGAGGGAGTCGCGTCCCCCAGCGTGGCCCAGGGCCTGTGCAAACCTGGAGCCCCCGGTCAGCCCCCCAAGGAAACTCCAAGCCGGTCCCGGGCTGTCCCTGCGCAGCGTTCTCGGGAATCCCCTCCTCAGTCCTGGGCTCAAGCCCCCAGCGCGGGAGCGCTCCGCCGCGCACACTCCCCCCCCCCCCCCCAGCCCCTGCGGCTCCGGGGCTCGGCGCCAGGTCGGACCTCTCCTCGCCCGGGGCCTCGGCTCCCCGCTCCCCCGCCACAGCGCCCCCTCGCGCCGGACCCCCCTCGCACCGAGCGCGCGTACCTCACTGTGGGCGCGCACCGGGTCGGCCCGTAGCAGCAGCAGCAGGAGCAGCGGCATTAGGAGCAGGGCCAGCCGCGAGGGCCGGGGCTGGAGCGTGGCCATGGTGCGGCGGGCACAGAGGGCAAAGCGGGCGCGGGGAAGCGCTGGCCGCACTGCGAGATCCCAGCGCAGCCGGCTCTGCCGCCCCACGCGCCCCCCGCCCGTCCGCCGAGGCGGAGCCAGGGCTGGGGCACCGGCCCCGCCCCCCCTCGCGCAGCCCCGCCGATCTGCCCCGGGCGCCCCGCCAGCGCCGCAGAGTCGGTCCTGCAAAGTTCCGGTCGGCAGGAGAGAAGCGGGCTCCCCGTGCATACCCAGGAGGGCCTGTGACAAGAGATAGGTGTTCTTGGGGGTGTCCCTTAGCCTCTTTGAGCCATAGTTTGCCCATCGAGAAAATAGTAACCTCCTAACCTCCTTTTTTTTTTTTTTGAGACAGGACGTCTCTGTTTCTTTCTTTCTTTCTTTCTTTTGGTACCAGGGATCGAACTCCGAACCTTAAGCTTGCTAGACAGGTGGCGAAACCACTGAGCTAAATTCTCTACCCGGCCTAAGGAAGTCTCTAACATAGCTCAGGATGGCTTCGAATTCGCAGCGATCCTCCTGCCTCAGCCTCCCGAGTGCTGGGATTACCGGCGTGTTCACGTCTGGCTAAAAGTGGCCTTTCTGGAGTAGTTGTAAAGTTCAAATGAGTGAGGTTTTCAGCAGGTGAGCCATTCCTTCTTCCCCTGGGACCCTGCCCACACAGCCTTCTTAATGCTCAGCCCCCCAGCTGCCCCCAGTCTTCCATTGCTCTCTCCCTCCCTGACCCCTCCCAACCAAAACCCAGGACCCTCTCCTCCTGGTCTTTTGATTTCTCTGCTCCCTAGACTGCAACACATTCATTCCAAAGAGCTGCCCAGTGCCTCTGGATAGATCCTAGTTCATTCCTTTGCTCCAGGGGCCTTAGACCTCACTACCCCGGAAATCCTAGAAGGCACCTCTACAATTCCTAGGGCAAAGGCAGACTCAGGCCTTCTTGTATAACCATCTCTTCCCTTAAGGGTGGCTCAGAACTTTTTATATTTATTTTCGCAGTACTTGAGATTGAACCCAGGGCCTTCACACTTAGCTAGCTACATACCCAGTACTCCTTTTATTTTATTTTTGGTGCCGGGGATCGAACCCCAGCCCTCCTTCTTTTGAGACAAGAGCTCATCAAGTTGCCCAGGGGAGGCTCCAACTTGGATCCCTCCTGCCTCAACCTCCCAGAGTGCTGGGATTACAGGAGTGAAACTCCATGCCTAGCTATCCGGTTTTTCCTCGAATTTCCTGGAGGTGGGGAAGAGGGGGCTTCTATCTCAGTCTCTCACTGGCCTTTCCTCCTCTGGGCAATCCTGGGTCCCCTTCCTTCTCCACATTGTCATTTAGGGGACCAAGACAGCTCCACTGGCATGTTTACCCAAACTTGTACACTGCGACTACACAGAAAGGAACATTTATCTGTGCCCTCAACGCTCCCACCCCCCTTACCTCTGTTCTCCAGCACCTTCCCCCCAAGAACTGTCCCTCTGAGTTGTTTTCTCTTTGAATCCGTCACCTCATGGCATGCGCCTGCCATTGTGGAGGGAAATGGGCCACCATGGGACACGCTTTGTCCTTCCCCACAAACAGCTGGCTCGGGGCTTCTCCAGGTGTGGACCCCTGGCCAGCGAGCCCCACAGTCCCGGAACTTGTTAGAAATGCAAATTGGCAGGCTCCACCCGAGGACCTACTGGATCTGCAAACCGCTGGGGGTGGGGCCCTGCAGCTGTTCACAAACCCTCTGGGACTCAGGGTTTGAGAAGCCCTGACCTGGCACAAGTTTGGTGATGGGTAACTTTCAGCTAACTTAGAAAGCAGAGGGGCTGGGGATTTAGCTCAGTGGTTTGGGCGCCTGCCTTGCAAGCGCAAGGTCCTGAGTTCGATCCCTGGTACCAAAAAAAAAAAAAAAAAGAAAGCAGAGTGGGTGCTCAGGACAAAGAAACTTCTTTCAAAACTAGAGATGGGGAGGCGCCCAGACCAGGCCCAGCGGGAGAAACAAACACTTTGTGTTATGCACTTAGATCAGCTCTGAAAGGGACTGGAGTAAGGAGAATTTTCACTGAGTGGATTTTTGCCTTCTGTGGATTTTGCAACTTGTGTCCTATTTGAAAAAGACAAAGCGTACTTATGGGACCGGGGGTTTAGCTCAGTGGTTCTGCCGCCTGCTGCGCACGTGCAAGGACCAGAGTTCGATCCCCGGTACCAAAAAAAAAAAAAAAAAAAAAGACAAAGCATACTTAAATGCCCCAGACAGAGGTTCCAGCTGTCTAGGCAAGGCACGAAGAGCATTCCCCATGACTGCGGGTCTCCCCCTGTGCCCCTTCCCTCTCAGTGGACACCTGGTGAATTTTCCTAGTTGGTCAATGACTTGGCCTTGGGATCTTCACACACGTTGCACCTGAAACTCTCTACGTGGCCTGCCTCATTTCTACTTGTTCATCCCATCTTATTTTATTGCTCCTTTTCCAGGAAAGCCTCCCCTGATTAGCACCCCCAGCCACAGTGAAGTGTCTCTCCCAACAGAGCCAGGACTTCTGTCTAAGGGACTCTAAGTTGGATCACCTGGGTTTGTGGTCCACTGACTTGATTAGCATATGACTGCCTCTTCCATTGCCAAGGAAGGGCCCTGGATGAGGTCCATACCTGCCTAATCTTAGCTGTAGCCCTATCTGGTGTTTCTGCCTCTGACCTCCCAACCAGTCCCTCAAATCCATTCTTACCCTTAGATTCTTTCCTTTTCAGCTCTTCTGTCCTGAATCCTGTAAAGTGCTGGGAAAATCTTTTCCATCTGCTTTTGGGGGGAGGGGTGTTGAGATAGGGGTCTCCATATGTAGTACAGGCTGGACTTGAAGTCAGAACAATGCTCCTGCCTCAGCCTCTTGAGGGCTGGGATTACAGGCATATGGTGCTCCATGTGCTGCTTTTCTGTCTTATTTGTAAATGAGGGCTAAAGTACTGACTTCTCTGGATTTCAGGGAGAAATGAGGAGAAATCAGAGAAAAGGCCCCATAGGGAATCATAATCAGTGCTGTCTCATGGGCTCTACATGCTTAGAACAGTGGCTGGGTTCTCCTAGTTTTTTTTTCTTTTTTTGGTACCGGGGATTGAACTCAGATCCTAGCTTTTTTTTTTTTTTTTTTCTGGTACTGGGGATTGAACTCATGACCTTGCACTTACCAGGCAGCCGCCAGCACCACTGAGCACCACTGAGCTCTCCTTGCTTTTCTTAGAGCTGTGGTACCTGACTCTTCATAGAAGCAGCTTCAGAAGAGAGATATGTGGGACCTGGGACCACTGTCCATCCAAGTAATAGTAGCAACAGGTTCCATTTACTAAGCTGGACCTTATAGTAATTGCTTTGCATGCATCATGTCATTCATGACTTGTTCGGTGTTTGCAGTGCTGGCAGTCGAGCCTGGGGCCTCATGTATGCTAGGTAAGTGCTGTCACCAAGCTATACCCCTGCACCATCTCATTTAATTCTAATATTCCTGTGAAGTAGCAACTATTATTACTGCCACCTCCAGAAACCAGGACATTGAGGCTTAGCAGTAACACATCCAAGGCCACACAGTTACTAAGTAGAAGAGTCAGATCTGTTTTGATCCCTTCTTTCACTCAGTCAGGAGTGATTTGGTGAGTGTGCCTACTGTGAAATGGCCCTGTGGTCCACAGCTGGGGCTTGATGTGTGGGAGAATAAAGAGATCTGAGCAGTCAAGGATCTGGGAAGGCTATGGCAAGAGGAGACACACAGCTGGACCCTGAAGGATGAGGAATTGTTTCCAGAAGCTGAACATTTGGCTGGACTCGTCTGCCCATCTCTGGGCCAGCTTGCAATCCATTCATCACTCAAACACCAAGGCTGCAGGGCAGTCTGGCGTCAGGGAAAAGGACTGCTACTTCCAGGCCAGTGATAAGAAAGGAAAATTCTTGCCCTAAGAAGGCCACGTGGTCCTGACATGTTTCAGAACCCAGAGCCCAGGGAGTAGCCCAGAGGATTGTCCCCTTTGTCCCTCATTTTCCTCAGTGCAAAGGGCTCTCCTGTCCTCTTCCCAGGGGCCAGCTCCAGAGGCACTGCTCCCTGCCCTTGGGAGTGCTCAGAAAGGGCATCGAGGAGGCAGTCACTGAAAAATCCCGTCTTAGGGTCTGAAAGGCGCTCACAGAGCCACGTGGGAACTGAGGATACCCACTTGTCCCGTGGTGGGGGATATTAAGGAAGGTGCCCCTGAAGAAGTATTTGAATGGGATCGAGAAAGATGAGTAAGTTTGGGAGTGGGATAGGTGAAGTCAGCAGGATTCCAGCTGGATTCAACTGGAGTTGGGATCACCATCACTCCTGGGCGACTTCATCAGGGTATGTACTATGGGGTAATATCGGGGCTCCCTCAGTGAGTGAGTGTGAGGTTTAGACCACCCAGGTTCATGTTTAGTGGCTGGCAGATTAAGGATGAAAAACATAGGTTAACCAACGTTGGTAAAGAACAGCTACCCCGCAAGTGCAGTAAAGCACTGCAATCTTGTGCGTAGCAGGTGAGGAAGGGAGTGTGGTGAGAAATGCCAGGGGTGAGACGAGGTACGAATGCGAAAGCCAGGATAAAAACCTAACATTAAGGTATCACACAGAGGAACCAAAGTATCGGCGAGGCAGGAATAAGCGGCCAGCGGGAAAGTGGCGGCACAATCCAGAAGGGAGGCGGGCAAACACCACCGTTGTTGCCTTTTGTCTTCAAGCAGGCCAGGTAGGGCTTAGACCCTAAGCAGCAGCCACTGCTAGTCCTTCCCCAGGGGGTTAGCTCAATTTGGACGCCCCAGCAGGTCCGGAGGCCGGGGCCGCGCGCCACCTGCTGGCCGCGGGAGGTGGGCTCAGCTGGGAGCAGCGGGTAAAATACGGGATCCTGTTCCCTAAAATCTTCGAGAAAATGAGGCAGGGGTGAGGGGTTTGGGATCTTCCTGGGGGATTTCGTCCCTAATCCAAACCCGTATTACAGGTAGGGAAACTGAGCAGAAGGGAAAGAGACTAAGGCCGGGTAAGGGACGATTCTTAAAGGAGAATTTCAAGACTCTTGGAGTGACCAAGGTTTCTTTAACCAAGGACCTGGAGCTTGATTTGTCCATCTGTTCTACGGGCAGGGGGTGAAATGAAAGAGGAGGAAGAACAACTTTAGTCTTTCCCGCCCACTCGGAGGTAAAAGGCTTTAAACACTACCCCGGAAAGCAGAGTTGTATAGATCCATTTGCATACGAACGCAGTCACCTCTAAAACTCCGGTCCTTTAATCTCGGGTCCAATTTGTCCCGGGGCCGCAGAGGAAGGCCCTCGTGAATACCTCCAGGCCCCGCCCCTCTGGGCCCCGCCCACAGGGCTGGGCTTCGCTGCACGTGCTCACCGGGCTCCTTCTGGACCCACCTCTTTGGAAAGGCTTATTGTTGGGGCGGGGGGATAAGAACAGTCCTACGAAGTTTGGGGCACGGAATAGCCAAAATAAAGTGAAGTACCTGAAGTATTCTTTTATTCAGTATTTGTCGGAGGTGTTTTCAGGGTCGTATTAGCTAAAGAACTTGGCTTTCCTTTCTAAGGATTACTTATCCTTTCTCGCACACCTTCAGTTGGTAGGGTCCAGCGTGACCGGCCTCGCCTGGTGGACTCCACTTCCCAGTATGCATCACGGATCGGTGCGTAGCAGCGGCGCCTGACGTCAGGGGAGGGAGCTGGCCAGTGCTGAGGGGGCGCGCCGCGCAGGGGCGCGGAGCCGGGCGGCTCGGGGCCCAGAGAGCGCCGCGGCCGGGAGCCCGCCGGCCCCTGACAGCCCCCTCCCCCCGGCCGACGACGACGACGACGAGGGCGCGGGTCATGGCGGAGCAGCGAACCCGGCACAAGCCCTGAGCACCGCGGCATGGAGCGGGACGAAAGGCCGCCTAGCGGAGGGGGAGGCGGCGGAGGCTCGGCGGGGTTCCTGGAGCCGCCTGCCACGCTCCCTCCGCCGCCGCGCAACGGTGGGTGAGGGGCCTGCACAGCGCAGGCTGAGGGAGAACCGGCCTCTTGTCCCTCTACCGGGAAGCCCCCTCCCCTCCGCCGACTCTCGCTCTGGGCAGCCCCTGAGCATGGACCTTCACCCCGGTGTCCCTCAGCGCGGAACCTTGGTGTACTCCTCTATCTCAGTCGTGGGGGCCGGCCCCCGCCCTCTCTGTCCCCCTCCGCGCGGACCCTCCCCCTGCCTTGTTCCCTTGGCCCGGAGCTTCACTTCCCCCTCCCCCCGTCCCCTAGGAACAGGCTTCCCCTCCCCCCCACCCCCGTCCCCTTGCGCCAATCCCGCGCCACCCCCCCCCCCGTACCCTCGGGCGGATCTCGCTCCCCTCCGTCCCAGTTGCGACCCGTCAGCGGGGGCTTTTACCTTTCTCTGGGGTCCCCACCACTCCCGGGGGTCCCCACGCGGGTCTTTCCTGGCTCTGCCGACCCGACGCCACACCCTGGGACCCCTTACCTATCTGGAGCGTTTTTCTTTTCCGCAGCCCTGCCCTTGCCCCCGGTCACTACCTAGTTCTTTCGCGCGGACCCCTGGTTCATTGGTATCCTCGGCTGTTTTCTCTTTCGGACCTCTTGGTGCCGGCTCCCGCCCGGGCCTCAGCTTCCTAGCTGTCCCGCACGCTCTTGCCTGCCACTGCCCCAGCTTGGGTGCGCTCTGCTAGGCGGCGACTTTTTGCTAGCTCAGATCTGCCGGAGTCGGGCTCGGGACACCTGCCTCTTCTCCGGCGCCTGCTGGCAAGCCCCGGTCCGCACTTGCCCAGCTTCGTTCTCCTCTTCTCTTTCCCGATCCGAGACTCCTGGTGCTCGGAATTCCTCATCTGGCCAGACCCTTCTTGTGCCCCCCACCCCATCCTGGCCAAGTCCTCAGGTTCCTTGCGGCTTGCTGCCCCCCTTTCCTCCCCCTGCCGGGTGTTTTATTTGTATCTGTTTGATATTTTCCCCCTCGTTGTTTGCCGCGGAATGTTTTTATTGGTAACGTGTAAGGAGCTTTTGTGAGGTCGTAAAAGGTGAACTTTTGAACTTGGAAAGCGCCCTGGAGCAATTAGTGCAGGCGATAGCCCCAGGAGGCCTGCATTACAAAGGGTGCTCGAACCCGCCGGCAAACGCTCCGGAGGCAAACCCGATTTATTTATTTATTTGCCCTGCCTTCCACCTTTCACATCTCCTCATTTCCGAATAAAGGGGAGGCTCTGTGCCTCCTCCCCTCTCTGCGCCATAAACTCGCAATTCTCTGAAAGATCTAGAACCGAACAGTATCTAACAAGTAACAGATTTCAAATTGAATGCAAATAACCGGCACAGTTAGGATGCACTAAAAATTAATTGCTTCAACGAGAAGTTTCTCAATCAGGGCAGTGACCTGGCAGGTGTGCAGAAAGTAACATGAAAATCGGTCATTTAGGTGCTCAATTACTGAATGAAGAGCTACAGAGGAGAGAAGTCTTGGGTTAGATCTGCACTTTCATAGGTTTATGAATTTACCAAACATTATTAATAGATCAGGTATTTTTTTTTAACCAGTTAAGGGGAAAATCTGTCTAGAAGAGAGCCTGGTCAAATAATGATATGCTTTCACAGCTCTTGTTCTTTTTAAAGATGTATATGATGTGTGGCTGGCCATCCGGGGAGGTATCTTTGGAGACTAATTTCTGGGTGTGAACGTATTTGAGATCAATAAAATCCCATGTACAAAAGAGAAGGCTGGAATCCAGTTAAGTTAGAAGATAGTATCAAAGGAACAAAGACTTTCTTTAATGCTTTTGACTTTTTAAGCTAGTTGTGTGGAGATTTGGTTTGGTATTAATTTGTGAATGTTGTAAATCCTAATCTAAAGTTTGCCATGCTGGTTTTTTAAAAGCCCATACTTCAGATCTATCTTATGCCCCATATACTAGACTGTGTATTTCCATAATGCGTTCCCATGAGTGACTACTTCCTTTACCCACCTGTGCATATGAAGTAGATGACAGAATTTACTGCAGACATTGCTTTCAGTTCTACTTAAGAATATTGTTGTAAAGGAAGCCTAAGAACTGCATTTGTTATTAATTATTCATTAGTACATTTTAGAAAAGAAATGGTAATTTCAACTCAAATCATATTTCTCATTTATAGTCTCATTTCCTTAATTGGTCAGAAACATTTAAAAGAATGTTACCAAGTAATCCATTTAGGCTAAGATGAATTTAATATTTTATATCAGCCCAAATTAGTGGTATAAATACCTTTTTTTAATTGAAAACACAGAAGGAACTTTTGCTACCTTGATGGGTTTAAAAGAAAATACTTGAAACTATTGTGGGATATTTTGTTTTTCAGTGTAAAAACTAGCACTATGTACTGTTTCACAATTTATATGTATTAGTGCTTTGAAATTTAGCATTTTCACAAAAATGACCCTCCCCCCAAAAAAGTTTGCCTTTGAAATAGTGGACAAGTTTTTGTTTTTGCTTCCTAATCAATATTTTTCTCCAAAAATAAATGAAACTTTAATCTCTTAAGTAGAACAAAGTGAATAATCCTTACTTTTTATTCTTGTGATGGATTTCCAATTTTATGAAATATTTGCAAGTGATAGCTATGTAGACAGGAGATTTTTGTTCTGTGTCATGATGAAATAAACTGGATGTGGAATTTTAGAAATGTCTTCCTGCCGGAAAAGCCATTGATGGTGAATTTACAGTCCTTTAAATGTGTTTTATTCCATCAGAACAGTAGCTAGCTTTTTGATCACACTGTTCCATTCCCCGGTGCTGACTCTGTTATTTCCAGTTGTCGCTTGTAGGTTTTCCTAACAAACCCGAACCCATTAAGATGTAATAGAGGATTGCTCCTTTTTGAAATTTCAGAGGAAGATGAATGACTCAAGAAAGCATATGTTGACTATTGCATTTGTTAATTTTAAGAGAGACAACTTTTAAATATTTAAGGCAAAATAAGGTTGTAAGTCATCATAAGTAATTAAAAACACATTTTATATAATTACACTTCAGAGGAAATGGGGAGTTCACTAAATATGAACTGCTGTTCCTCTGCTGTTACCATGCCTTCTAAATGTTTATTCCAGAAAATAAATTAGCAAATATTTACCACGACAATTTAACTTTTCAGTTTTGTAACTTTAAAAATGTTAATTTGGAGTTGACTCAATTTTCTGCTTTTGTTAGAAAGTGCATACTGTAGTACTGCTGTTCCCTATACATTCGGCACAGGTTCTCTTTCTTGCCTTTTCTTTCCAGGGTCTGTGACCTCCGAAGAGCACTAAAAGGCAATAGTGAATAGATCTGGTAACTCCAGGCAGTTAAGGTGGGAGATGGCCACATTTCCAGCCTCTAATTTACAGTCCACTGAAATTTTTTCAGAGCATTTCTGACTCCTACCATTAGAATATGATCATGACAGGATTCCTAATCTTAGTTAATTTTGAATTATTAACAAAAAGTATAGGTGTGGGCCTTTATTATCATGTCAAAAGGAGTTAGATGAGGAGATATTGAAAAAAAAACCCCAATAAATTCCCTTAAATATGCCCAAATAATGCATTTTTAAATTTTACTTGTAATTTCTTGGTTTCTACCTTGTCTCTAAGGTTGTGGGGCAAAGGTAGAAAGTAGATTTAAATGCTTGATTTTAGGATAGCAGAGGCTGCTGGGTCAGCTGCTACTATGATTATTTTACAGGAATTTCTTACATCACTTCTAGTGCTTGTGCAAGTTAGTTTTAAATTGGTAACGGTGCTTCCTTGTTCCCTGCTTGGAGCTCTGTTAGTTTGACCCTGTGGTAAAACACCTTCGCTTCATTTTGTGGCTGTGTTGGTTTATGTTGAAAAAAATTGGCTGGTTAGTGAATTAGGTTCAGATGGAAACTTCTGGCTTCACGATTTCAAAAAGCCAGGATAGGTCGAAATGAAGAGAGATTTCGTTGTTAGTGAGTTCATCTAGGTCTCAGGGGCCTTGGCATAATTTTGTTCTCATTTATTTTTGTTTTAGCTAAGTTAAATGTCATTTCTCTGTTCAGTAGTTTTTCAGTGCATATAGTATTAAGTAGAAAGTTAAATTTGGTAAAATGCATTTTAAGGTAAATTTTATATTGTTGGTAACATCTGTTTTTTTGTTTTTTGTTTTTTTGTTTTTTTGGTTTTTTTGGTACCAGGGATCGAACTCGGTAACATCTGTTTTTAAAAACTGGACAATAAAAATGCCTTATTTTGTGCGTAATATTTTGAAAGTATTTCCAAAACCAACTTGTGAAGGAAAATATTTTCTTTTGAACTCTTATATTCTTAAGGTCATCTTTTTAAAAAATTTAAAGTTTTTATTGTGTTGGGTAATTTAAGTATTTATGGATGCTTTTGATTGATAACTAAGGTTCAAGAAATACTAGTGTTGTTGAAAGTTGGCAAGAAGGGAGTTTGATACTGAGCAGGTACAGTAATTCTTTTTTTGGGTCTTGAGCTTTTTAGAACTGATGTTTCACATTCATCTGAGCTTGATCTTAAATTTAAAAAACAGGGCCAGGATTTAGCTCAGTGGCACCGTGTCTGCTTCACAAGCGCAAGGTCCTGAGTTCAATCCCCAATACCAAAAAAAAAAAAATTAAGAAACATTTCTAGATATAATGCTGATATACACACAGTGTTCCTAGAATCAAGTACAGTCTTTTGTTTTTTGGTGTTTTCCAACATAGCTTGTCTTTATGAAAAAAGTGAAGGTATTAGACTACAGGTAACGGGAAATTAGATACAAAACTATTGAGAATTGTCTAGCTTACTTTTTCTTTCTCATTGTGGTTTAGAAATATAGAATAGAGGGCCGGGGATTTAGCTCCATGGTTTCGCCGCCTGCTGCGCAAGCACAAGGACCTGAGTTCGATCCCCGGTACCAAAAAAAAAAAAAGAAATATAGACTAGAGAATGTTATTTTAAGTATAAAACATTTTCTTATGTTATTTTGTTCTTCGTTTCTTATGA